TGTCGAAATTTTGCTTTCTGCGCATGCCCGAACTTCGCAAGCTGATATTTTGCATCTGGATCAGAAGGCCGCCAAGTGTACGACCTGTAGACCGGTTTGTGGTAAGTTTTAGCTCTTTATAGCACGACAGTGACCAGAAAACCACTCGACTAGCTTCAAAACGCGTTTTTCGGCAAAATCTCCAGGAGCGAATGGGTTAAGGGAGTATGTACCTGCCATAATTGCCTCCATTATGGCAAAGTTTGAAGAAATTCTATGAGAGCATTTTCGAAATATTTTGAAATGCAGTTTTAAGAATCATAAAAACAGTGAAATAGCATGCTAGCCGCACAATTCGCTAATATTTTAAGAAAATGATAAGCTTTGGGAACGCGGCTTCATCTCATAGTGGTTTGATTCCATTGAAAACTGCATACTAAAAAAGAGGGGAATTGCTCTGGGCGATGGTGAGTAAGAAGGTTTTTATTAACTTGCATTCAGCTGCTTTTGATACAGTTTTTGGAGGTAATTAGGTCCATGCCTAAAAATTTTGCATTTTTCCAAAAACCACTCGATAAATTTTTTTATAAATTCGACAATCTCGAGATCAATTGTCAAGAAATTTTCCCTGCAAGTTTTAAGAACATTGAAAACAGGGAAGGCTTTTAAATAGGTTGCAATAAAACCCAGATCATAAGAAATTTTCATCTTTATATAATACAGTTGTGGTAACCTTTTTACCATATCTTTACTCTTGCCGACATAGTTAATGCTCAAACTTGGGAGGTATCCACCCCAAAAAATCCAGTTGAGCCACCTTACTATGGACACTTTCTACAGCCCCCTTAGTGCCCATATTAAAAAGGTTCAACTGCATCATATTTTCATGAATACTAGAAAGTCAGTCAGTCAGTCAGTCAGTTGCTCAATCAGTCATTCTGTCAGTCAGTAAGGACCCAACTGGACAGTCAGTCAGTTGCTCAATCAGTCATTCTGTCAGTCAGTAAGGTACCCAACTGCACAGTCAGTCAGTTGCTCAATCAGTCATTCTGTCAGCCTGTCAGGTACCCAACTGCACAGTCAGAAAGTTGTTCAATCAGTCATTCTGTCAGCCAGTCAGGCACCCAACTGCACAGTCAGTCAGTCAGTCAGTTAGTTTCTCAATCAGTCATTCTGTTAGGCAGTCAGGTAACCAACTGCACAGTCAGTCAGTCAATTGCTCAATCAGTCATTCTGTTAGCAGGTCGAGTACCCAATTGTACAGTCAGTCAGTCAGTCAGTTGCTCTATTAGTCAGTATCTGGTACTGTAATTTGCTCATTCAGTCAGTCATTCAGTCAGTTATATAATCAGTCATTCCATCAGCCAGTCAGTTAGTTACAAATAGACAGTCAGTCAGTCAAAATGGTTAGTTGAGTAGTTAGAAGCATACTTAGCAAATTAATCAGTTAATTAGACAGTCAATCAGTCAGTTGCAGGGACAGTCACTGTATCAAACTTTAAACCAAGCAGTTCTGTGTATCTGGTTTAATTAAGAGCTGGATTAAGACACAAAACACACATTACTTACATTTCTGAAGATAACAGAGGCTCTTTGCTCATGAAAGTCCTTGTCCAGCCTTTCTGTGGCATCTGATCCGGAAACAAAAGTTTGAAATATTCAATGAAGCTCATCAGTTACTTTCATGATATCATAGGTGATGAAGTACTCCTTAATTGTGGTGTAAACTTTCAGTATAATTTGTTATTTCACATGCGAAATTACAAAATTGCCATGGCAACCTTTCGTACTTCTCAGTGCCAAGATGGTGACAGAAATTTAAAATGATATCATGAAACGAAGATGTCAGGGCATTAAAAGACTCTTCGAACTTAATTCATCACCCGTTATATTAATAGGTAATTAAATGGTAGACTTGTGAAATTAGGAAATAATTTCACTTGCGTTTTGTTCAAATCGCTCACCTAGAGGCTTCGGAAATTATTTGGATTTGGAGAAAAACGTGGGTGAAATTATTCCCTAATTCGTCACCATTTAATTACAAATACGAACAGACCAGCTTTATGGACACCCACTTAATACAGAAACCTTATACTTACGGACACTTTACTTTGTTCTGGAGGAAAGAAAGCCCTCTCTAAATTCAAGCTGCTTAACGTGGACATCCCATTAATATGGACACTTTCTATGGCCCCCTTAGTGCCCATAGTAAAAAAGTTCAACTGCATCATATTTTTATGAATACCAGTGAGCAACCATGTTGGAATTATTTCACACAAATGATTATCATAAATTAACACCCACCCTTCACTGTACTAGCAAATGACATTTCTGGCATCAATTTTATAGAACTTTTACAAATGTAATTTTACAAGTGTACAGTTGTAGCAATATAATTTTAGATTGTTTCCATTGATTTAGGACCAGTGGTTTTTTGGGCTTCCAGGTCTTTAATATCCTGCCATTTAGTGTAACGTTTGTGACCATTATTAAAGGATCGCTTGTATACCATTGCCATACTTTATGTTTTGTCCTTCACTGTTCAGATAATACCTTCACCGTCAGGTGTGTGTGTGTGTTTTTAATTCCTTCAGTTCATTTCTTTAGGTTTTTTTCAGTGTACATTTCTTTATTTTGGTTTGACTATGTGTAGCTTTCTTTTGGTTTAATTGGCTATCAGAAACCTCTGTACGAAAAACAGAAAATTGAAGTTCATTGGGATGGGGTAAAGAAGTTCATTTGTTCAGAGCGTGATTAACACAGACTCTAAACAATGGATACACTTGTAAAAGTTTTATTAAATTGAACCCTGCTTTGCAGACCCCAGTCAGTCCCTAAGTTAGTCAGTCAGTTGCTTTCAGTTAGTCAGTCACTTGGTAAGTTACTCAGTTTAGTAAGTCATTCAGTCAGTTACTCAGTAAGTCATTCTGTCAGCCAGTCAGGTACCCAACTGCACAGTCAGTCAGTCGGTTGCTAAATCAGTCATTCTGTCATTTGGTCAGGTACCCAACTGCACAGTCAGTCATTTACTCAATCAGTCATTCTGTCAGCCAGTCAGGTACCCAACTGCACAGTCAGTCAGTCGGTTGCTAAATCAGTCATTCTGTCATTTGGTCAGGTACCCAACTGCACAGTCAGTCATTTACTCAATCAGTCATTCTGTCAGTCAGTCAGGTACCCAACTGCACAGTCAGTCATTTACTCAATCAGTCATTCTGTCAGTCAGTCAGGTACCCAACTCCACAGTCAAAGTCACAGTCCACAGACAGTCAGTCGGTCAGTCAGTTGCTCAATCAGTCATTCTGTCAGTCAGCCAGGTATCAAACTGCACAGTCAGTTAGTCAGTTGCTCAATCAGTCATTCTGTCAGAAAGTCAGGTACCAGACTGTACAGTCAGTCAGTCAGTCAGTCAGTTGCTCAATCAGTCATTGTGTCAGCTAGTCAGGTAACCAATTGCACAGTCAGTCAGTCAGTCAGTTGCTCAATCAGTCATTCTGTCAGTCAGTCGGGTACCCAACTGCACAGTCAGTCAGTCAGTTCCACAATCAGTCATTCTGTCAGCCAGTCAGGTACCCAACTGCACAGTCAGTTAGTCAGTTGTTCAATCAGTCATTCTCCTAGACAGTCAGGTACCCAACTCTACAGTCACAGTCCACAGTCAGTCAGTCAGTCAGTTGCTCAATCAGTCATTCTGTCTGTCAGTCAGGTATCCAACTGCACAGACAGTTAGTCAGTTGCTCAATCGGTCATTCTGTGAGTCAGTCAGGTACCCAACTGCACAGTCAGTCAGTCAGTCAGTTGCTCAATAAGTCACTTTGTCAGATAGTCAAGTACCCAACTGCACAGTCAGTCAGTCAGTCAGTCAGTCAGTTGCTCAATCTGTCATTCTGTCAGCCTATCAGGTACCCAACTGCACAGTCAGTCAGTTGTTCAATAAGTCATTCTGTCTGCCAGTCAGGCACCCAAATGCACAGTCAGTCAGTCAGTCACTCAGTTGCTCAATCAGTCATTCTGTCAAGCAGTCGGGTAACCAACCGCAAGGTCAGTCACTCAGTTGCTCAATCAGTCATTCTGTCAGCCGGTCCAGTAACCAATTGTACAGTCAGTCAGTCGGTCAGTTGCTCCATTAGTCAGTATCTGGTACTGTAAGTTGCTCATTCAGTCAATCATTCAGTCAGTTATATAATCAGTCATTCCATCAGCCAGTCAGTCAGTTACAAGTAGACCGTCAGTCAAAATGGTTAGTTGAGTAGTTAAAAGTACACTTTAAAGTTAATCAGTTACTCAGACAGTCAATCAGTCAGTTGCTGGGACAGTCACTTTATCAAACTTTAAACCAAGCAGTTCTGTTTATCTGGTTTACTTAAGGTGACTTGACCCAGTTTTTTTTTGGGGGGGGGGGTACCATCCTACTTTGAAGCTCTCTGGTATCCCCACCTTTCCTTTTATCGTAAGTCTAACACATAGAATGGATAACATATAGACCAATCTACAATATAACATAAAATTTTTGGCGATCGGAGAAAATGTCACATGGTTATAATGCCACGCCCCTTTGAGGTCAGAGTCGAAAATCTGCTGTTGCCAGCATTTTTTCGTGAAAATCTCTCGGCTACACATAGTGCGCATTAGTGCCTTGCGCTGAACAGAGTTTCAAATTTTATGTTATATTGTAGATTGATCTATATGTTATCCATTCTATGTGTTAGACTTACGATAAAAGTAAAGGTGGGGATACCAGAGAGCTTCAAAGTAGGATGGTACCCCCCGAAAAAAACTGGGTCGAGTCACCTTAAGAGCTGGATTAAGACACAAAACACACAGCAATTACATTTCTGAAGATAACAGAGGCTCTTGGCTCATGAAAGTCCTTGTCCAGTCTTTCTGTGGCATCTGATCTGGAAACAGAATTTAAAATATTCAATGAAGCTCATCACTTATTTTCAGAACAGACTAATTCCTATTAAAGTCAAACCTTGCTTTACAGACACCCGCTTAGTTCAAAAAGCTTATTATTACAGACAGTTTGCTTTGTCCCTAGTGAAAGGAGGGGACAAGGGAGGGGTGAGGATTCTTTTGTTTGTTGAAGTTACCCAACAATTTTGTCGCTGATTACAGTTTCTCAGTTAGTAAGGCAGTTGCTTGATTAGTCCTGAGTCAATCAGTCAGAAGGTCAGTTACTCAGTTGGTCGGTTTGTAAGTCAGTCAGTTAGTTGGTTCATGTAAGTCAGTTGCCCACTAAGTCAGCTAGTAACTGTTACTTAGTTGATTTGTCAATCTGTCAGTCAGGTAGCCAGTCAGTTAGTCAGTATGTTATTTGCTAAGGTGGTCAGCCAGTCAGCCAGTCAGTTAACTAGTCAGTAGGTTGATAAACCAGTCAGTTATTCACCATGTCAATCAATGACTCAGTCAGTCAATCAGCAAAAAAAGCCATCCAGTCCAGCAGTAAAGAAAGTCAGCTAATCAGTCAATCAGTTTGCCAGTTTGTCAGTCAACTGTAAGTCAGTCATTCAGTCAGTCAATTAGTAAGTCAGTTAATCAGTCAGTCAGTCAACAAGTCAACCATTTTGTCAGTCAATGAGTCAGTCAGTCACCAAATACGTCAGCCAGTCTATCGGTCAGTCAATCAGTCAGTTAACCAGTAATATAATCTGCAGTCATTTGGTTAGTAAGAGAGTTACACAGTCACTCAGTCTGTCAGGTACATGTAGTCAGTCATGTAATCCGCCAGACATTCCTTCAATTAGTCAGTTAGACACTCATTTAGTCAGTTGGTCAATCAGCTAAGGACCAGTCATTCAAGGAAACAGTCAATCAGTCAATAAATGAGTCCACTCAAATGGCATCATGTAGATTGCAGAACTATAATAAAATAATGACCAAAAGAAGAACTTATTGTACCAACATTGTAGCACAGCTCATTCATAGCAGATCATGTATGAGTTGGCATTTGTCAGAAAAAACTCTAATTTTAAGATTTGATTTGAACTGTGCACATGTAACATTTTGAAACCATCAAGCAAAAGAGAAAAAACCCAAAGTGCTTAATGCTATCAGTCAATAATTCAAAATAATTTCTAAATGAATTTGAAAATGAACAATTTTTTTAAGTCCTATTTACACATGTGCTACTTGTTGGAAAGAACTGTATACACTTTGGCCTCAAACTGTTCTAGAGCTTTAAGCTGTCTTTCATGAAAAGATCAAAACAAGAATTCATTGACAAATACATTTAAAAAATATGAGCAACATTTTTAACAAAACTGTTTAACAGGGTTGTCACTAAGATTTCAAGTTGCCGGGTAAATACAACAAGTAGGCCGGGAATCAAACAGCTGGGGATTTCTTTTGGTTCTATTTTTCTTCTATTTTCCAATAAAAGTAGCTAGGGACCACACTCATATTAGCCGAGGGAAATCTTCGGTCCCCGGCTCCTTATGACAGCCCTGTTTAATATATTCTTCCTTTGAGTTTGGAAATTTTGTTGAATCTCTGCCTTCTCAGTAGAAAACAATAAACAGCTTGCTAAATATTAACATCAAGAAGAAGTCAAGTCACTCAAGTGGTGTTTTCTTTCACTATTATATTTAGACATGTGCATGTATCTCTCATTTCACAGAAACATTAAATTTGAAACAATTTTGAATTTTTGAATTAAATTAGGCCAGGTATGGCCACTAAAAGCTGATGACACTGTATGTCAATCTTGCTTTAAGCAAGCTGCACGACTTCAGTTTATCTAGTTCACTCAATAGCTGGATTACAAAGCAATCTATACAGCACTTACAGTACTGAAGATAAGCTCAAAATCCTGGCTGTTGAAGTCTTGACACATCTGCTGGACAAATCTGATCTGAAATGAAAATCAGTCATTTTCATCAGCAACTGCGGTAATCTTGATTCACATCATGAAGGCATTAAAATTAATGCCTTTTCTTAGCATGAATCTCAGTACGTTAGCCAGTCAGTCAAGTCAATTAGTCAATGAGCTACAATACTCGTCACAAATCTTGAAACGTTTGTGTGATTTTCCCTCTTCCCCAATGTTGATTTGGGTATTACAGTAGTCTCAGTGCTCCAAAATACNGCCGGGTAAATACAACAAGTAGGCCGGGAATCAAACAGCTGGGGATTTCTTTTGGTTCTATTTTTCTTCTATTTTCCAATAAAAGTAGCTAGGGACCACACTCATATTAGCCGAGGGAAATCTTCGGTCCCCGGCTCCTTATGACAGCCCTGTTTAATATATTCTTCCTTTGAGTTTGGAAATTTTGTTGAATCTCTGCCTTCTCAGTAGAAAACAATAAACAGCTTGCTAAATATTAACATCAAGAAGAAGTCAAGTCACTCAAGTGGTGTTTTCTTTCACTATTATATTTAGACATGTGCATGTATCTCTCATTTCACAGAAACATTAAATTTGAAACAATTTTGAATTTTTGAATTAAATTAGGCCAGGTATGGCCACTAAAAGCTGATGACACTGTATGTCAATCTTGCTTTAAGCAAGCTGCACGACTTCAGTTTATCTAGTTCACTCAATAGCTGGATTACAAAGCAATCTATACAGCACTTACAGTACTGAAGATAAGCTCAAAATCCTGGCTGTTGAGGTCTTGACACATCTGCTGGACAAATCTGATCTGAAATGAAAATCAGTCATTTTCATCAGCAACTGCGGTAATCTTGATTCACATCATGAAGGCATTAAAATTAATGCCTTTTCTTAGCATGAATCTCAGTACGTTAGCCAGTCAGTCAAGTCAATTAGTCAATGAGCTACAATACTCGTCACAAATCTTGAAACGTTTGTGTGATTTTCCCTCTTCCCCAATGTTGATTTGGGTATTACAGTAGTCTCAGTGCTCCAAAATACACGTGGCTGAACATTGGGGAAGGAGAGGGGCACATTTGAGTGAGAACAAAAGTGAGAAGAGTGAATGTGCAAAATTTTCCAAAAAATTCAAGAAAAACAGGTTTTGTTTCAACAGTTTGTGACAAGTATTATAGCCAGTAAGTCAAGCAGTCTATCAGCCACAGTCAGTCAGTCAGTCAGCCAGCCAGTCAGTAATTGAACCAGTCAGCCAGTCAATTGGTCAGTAAGTTGGTAAGCAGAGAAGTCAGTAAGTCAGTCAGCAAGTCATCCACCAGTCCACCAGTCAGTCGGCCAATTAGTTGGAGTTGTGTGAAAGTCAATCAAAACACAATGACTGATAGTATGTTATGTAACAAAGGCATACGACAAGGGTTTGGCTTAACCCTTTAAACCCTAAGAGTAATCAGCATTAAATTTCTCCTTGTAATATCGTTGCTTTGTAAAACAGTGTGGTCATGAGAATTACGGACATGATCACACAAGATGAATTTGCTTGATATTTTATCAACTTCTCCCCACTACTTCTGTAGGAAGTGAATAGGGGCAACAAATGAGAATTCAAATTTGAATCTTAGGGTTTAAAGGGTTAAGCCCAGTGATATTTTATTTGTTTAAAAATCACTTTACTGCCCTAGCATAAAGTTAGGTAATCCATCACTAAATTGCCTGACCTATGCTGATGATCTGTCCTAAAGTAATTAGTAATTCACCAGAAGGATTGGAACAATCCCTTGATGTAATGCATAAACATGCTCAAGAATTGAAGCTTAAAGAAAATATCAAAAAATCTAATATCATCATATTTAGCAGTAATGGACATCTGGTTGTTACGCCCATGCAAGGGAAATCCTTAGCAAAAAGGTTCCTAAAAATTAATAGTCTCCACAATACGCCGATTCAGGAAAAAACCAGCAGTTGCATGGAAGCGAGGCCTAAGGGCCCTCCGACCTTCGTGACGCCTGGCGGTAAAAACAAATGGGTTGTCGAAAAAGTTTCAAGATGGAGCAAGTAAATATTGAAGTTGTCAAATTGACACCCGACGAAAGAACAGGACCAGGTAAAATTCTAGTTTAAAATGTAGAAGAATAAACCAAAGCGTTAACAAGAAAGCATGGTGCAAAGAAAGTCAGTTTTACAGCCTGCCATTTGGGCAAGCTGTAGTTAGCATGTACCAGCCCAAAAGTCATTTCAACTAGCCCCAAAACTGTTTTTGATTAGCAGGATTGATTACAATCCTTCTGTAATTTGAATTTCCCCAAAAAAACAGCCTTTGCCCATCGGGCAAGTTAAGAACAAAAATCACTAGCCTGATAACAAAATCCACTAGCCCCGGGCTATCGGACACGACTTTCTTTGCATGCTGAGAAAGTCCTTTACGAACGTTAAGTTGAAGGTGAAATGATTGTATAACTTTATAAACCGACTGAAAGATACGATAAATTCATTTGTTTCCTGGCCCACATAGTCAAGAACCTTAATGTTATGCCTGAAAATAGAGATAACGTTTATGATTCCTAGGCAAAGGCTTCACCTGGGCAAAATTAGCCCAACCCCAGGAAATTTAAAAAAAAGCCAGCTGGATACCGTGCCACAAGATAAGCTTCATATGGATACCCTAGATCACGTTAAGGAATGGGGCAAAATAACTAAAAAAAATCTCTCTCTACATATGCCATTGCGGAAATGTTGTACATGATCTTGATCATGAAGTATCTAAACTTGTTGATAACGACATTGTTTTTTTTGGGCCTCCTACAAAAAAATATTGTGAAAAATATAAAGCACGTATGATTGTTAACCTAGTTGGAAAACCCAAACTCACACCAGCTGAGGCGATTTATTATGTCCTGCTGGTAGGGGTGGCTGCAGTTGCCATGTCATGGCAGTTATATGGAAATTGGAGATGTCACAGAACAATGAAATGAAAAATCAATGTGAGAATGACGTTCCTTGCACTTCTTAGCCAAGAAAATGGGAAATTCCAGGTAGGCAAACATTGAAACATGAGCCAATCATGGCCTTAAAGCCTATCAAGCCAAGGCATCATGCAGATACACCAGGTCATAAGAGGAGGGGCTTGTTGTCTAGTTTTTATGATCCCCGTCCTTTGAAATTGAGAAAGTTAGACCCCTAGGCTGTTGAAAAACTCAAAGTGAACATTGTCAGAGTCAACAAAGGTGTTTCCTTTCAAAAGATGAATCCCAATGCTTCTGATATAGTACATGTGAATTCCCTATTGAAATTGCCACTAAAGGATCTGCTCAACAAATGCAAATGAAAGGTTTTACTCACATCTGTTTCTTCTCCATACAATAGTACATATACTTCTGTTCTCCAACCAAATCCATGTTTAACAAATAAAACAGTGTCTCAAGTCAATTCAACAAACACAACCGACAATA